TGGGGAAGGTCCGCAGATCCGACTCCAGCGATGCCGCGGAAAGCGCCGCCCGGTAGCGCTCCTCGTCGGGCTCCTGCCCAAAGATGATGTTGTCCCGCAGCGTGCCCTCCGCGATGTGTGGGACCTGCGAGCAGAAGGCGATGACCTCGGGCCGGCTGATCTGTGCCGCGCACTCGTCCACTGGGTACAGCTCACCCAGGACGGCCTGCATCAACGTGCTCTTGCCGGAACCCACCTCACCTACGATGGCAACCAACTCGCCCCGGTTCACCGTGAGGTCCAGGTCGTGCAGCACCGGCCCGGTCTGCGGGCCCCATTGGAAGCTTCCCTTCACCACCAGCGAGCTTGCGCTCTCTCGGGTGAACATTGGCAAGGTGTTGCTTGTCTGGCTGGGCCACATGGAAACCCAGTCCGGGGTCTTTTCGGGTGGCAGCACCGGCGCTACGGTCATCTTCAGGAAATTTTCAATACGCCGGACGCTGGGCATGATGACAATGGTGCGGCCCAGGGACCGGGTGAAGAGATCGCAATTGTTCTTCAGGTTCGACAGGATTTGCATGCAGGTGAAGATCGTGGCAATGTCCTGGTGCCCGTAGATGGCTGAGTAGCCCCAGATCCCGGCCAGGATCAGCAGTCGCGGGAAGCTCAAGAACAAACCCACGAAGACGCCCAGGAAGCCGTAGTACCGCGTCAAACTCCGCACCTCCTCCTGGCGCATGTCCGAGATCCTCTTCAGCATGGCCTCCTCCCAAGCATAGCACTTCACCACGCGGATGCCGAAAAGGACCTCACCAAACTGTCCGTTTCGGGGGGCATCCAGGTCAATCAACAGGGAACCCCCAGCGGAACCTCTCGAGTACGGTGCGAAACTTTGATTCTAGGCGACCCACCTCCCGCAGGGTGCTGACGCGCTTGTCCATGCACTCCTGCAGGGCCCCTGAATTTGATCAAGCTTGTCAGAACCCTTGATGTGGTCGATTTCTGCACACGGATCTACTTTCTCAAAGTCACTCTCCAGAGATCGCTCGACTTGGCTTTGCCCCTTTGCAACTCCTGCAGCCGGAACATGGCGTGCCCCAGGCCAGCACTCATGGACAGGGAGAAGAAGACCACAGGCACTGCCACGGCCAGGGCGCACAAGGTGGCGAGGCGCAGGCGGTTCCAAAGAAGCGCCATAAGCACCACCACGCTCACCGTGGAATTCACGCACATGCACAGGGACATATAGCAGCCCTGCATGTTGCTGTTCACCTCAATCAAAAAAACAAATCGATTCTTCGGAAAAGGGACCCTCCAACCCCAGGCTTAGCGGGGTTGGGGGGACAAGGTGCGTCGTAGTTGATGAGCGTCATGAGATCCGCCTGCACCATATGTACCAAACCTCCGGTGGCTTTGTTCACCTCCTCGTCGTGTCCGTCCTGTGTTTGGACCCATAGTGTGGACCCCCCATGAGTCGCCAACATGCGAACCCCACAATTTGCCGTGAAAACGTGTGACACGAGACATCGAGAGCTCGTGCGTCCTGGTCCACGTTGAGCTTGGCGCAGGGCAGGCGTTGGGCCTTGCGGAAGAGGGCCATGGCCAGGCCGCCACAAAGCCGCTGGTCCAGGCGGCAACTGATGTGGTTGTTGATGCTACTCAGCACCTAACAAAGACGTAACCCGCGTGGCTCACAGCAGCATCTAGGCAAATTTCAAACGTGTGCCATACGTGGCTAACAAAACGTTGAGGATGTCTTTGTGTCAGCCGTGCGCAAGGTGCGTGAGACGTGTGTGACATGGAGATGATTCCAAGGCCCGGGAGGTCTTTGCTGAGGCGCGATGTTGCTGAGAGGCAGCGCGGAGAAGACCGCCATAGCCACGAACAGGGGCTCCCGCAGGTCTGGCAGGATGCCGTGCTGGTGGTAGTAGCTCTGGACCCACTGGAAGTAGCTCAGGGCCTTCTGTACCAGGAACACCGAGTAGGTCTGAGCCACGATGATCTGCAGGGCCATGACGCACATGAGATACAGCATGGTCTTCACTCCGTAGATACGGATGATGACCCGGGCCAGGCTGGCGCTGAACTCCCCGACGCTGTTCACTTCCTCCGCATGCCATGGTTGGGAGGAATCAAGCACCGAGCTGAGGAATGCCAATTAAAAAAGTGCCCTTCTCGACTTCGGACATGCTCACGCTCATTTCCGGCCTCCTGCCAAAGCTTCTCAAAGTAGGCCGCGCACTCCCGGGCCTGCATCTCCTGGCCACCCACCTGTGGCAGATCGCTAGCGCGGATTCTGGTGTAAGCTGCGTCCTGCAGGGCACGTAAGGCAAGCACGCGGAAGAAACGCAGGAAGAAGTGCCTTGGGACTCTCATCTACATGTTGGGAACCTCATGCTGCGAATCCGTTGGCGAAGTTTGAGTTGGTCCTGCGAGTGCCCCCAGCGAGCCACCCAGGGGCTGGCCCAGGAGACGGCCAGCCAGCCAAGCCAGCCTTGGTCCCATGTCCAGGCAAACCGACTTCTGAGACTGAGCGTTCAGACCTGCCTGTCTTTGCCAATGGTATACGAGCGGCTTTCTTGCCACGTCTTTTCTTCCACGTCGATCTCGGACACCTGCTTGCAGCGCGGAGCCAGATACTTCACCTCCTGAGAGTCTCACTCGCTCACCCTGCCCAAAGGTCAAGGCGGTTCACAAGTCAGGTCCTTGTATAGGTGATTCGGTGGGTGCGTCATGAAGTAGATCATGGACACCTCAGGCACCCACAAGCCCAAGAAACCCATGCAGTGTTCCGAGTCGTGAGATTAGACACACCGGCAACGAGAACTGTATACTTGTCTCACACCTTTAGTGGAGGGATTGATCCGTGTTGTGGGGAACCACCCTGATTGGCAAGGTCATTCGTATGAGTCTGAAGTGATACGATGTGTATATGTGTATATATTTAAAATGTATTATATTTTGTAGTATGCGTCCATATACATATTATACACTATGTAATATCAAAGGCTGAGGGGCCATGCACACAATGTAGAAGGCGACATAGGCGCTGATGATCGTCACTTCGTGCGCCCGATTCTTTGTGCTGCCCCCGACATCCTCTTGCAGAAGTGAGGTGTGGTCTTGCCTGGCAAAGGGCAACACAGAGCTGTTTCCCTGGGGCTCTCCTTTAGTCGCTCTGGAGGCCTACACTTAATTAATTTAATACATGCACGCTCTGTATGCTTTTTGCATAGTTTTCGTATTTCGTATATGTCGTATAGTTTTCAAGTAAGCGACGACATGTCGAAACCTTCGGCCACGAAAACTACGAGCTCCGCCTGCAAGGGCCTGGGAAGGCGCCGAAGGAGCGCAGGGACTCCATCTGCAGGCGGAAGCTTAGGGAGTCCAGGGCCCCGCTCTCCAGGCACGCCTTCCAGCGGCATCGGGTGACTCGGCACCTCTAAGATCCGCGCGGAGATGTGTCACTCGGGATGGGAATCCTGCAACACCCCCGGCTGTTGCTTCGTTTGTGGGGGGAAGTCACTGGCATCAGACTAGCCTTCTGCTCAGAAGACCTCAGTCTCTTGCAAACACTCCGACTCTGCCCGCGTTTCATTGCAATGGCATGGAAGCTGTGTGTCGAGCCTGAGGGGCCGTGTTGCTAGACACAGCAAGCTCGGTTTGTAGCAGTGATGCGACAAGCTCCGGCTCCGAAATCGAGGCAGAACTCCTGCAGTCAGACAAACAAGCAAGGGTGGGTGTGGGCGTGTTCGAGTTTACCTCCCTAACTGGCAAGAAGGGGTAAGCCGCTAAGCCTGATCATGTTCACAAAAAACATTTCTATGCTTGGGGAGAGAGAGGGTTGAAAAAAGAGAAAAACACATGATAGAAATGACTCGCGGTGGCAGTTGATCAATATTCCTCTTTCCGGAACACGCCATCTTCGCGAGAAAAAAAGTTTCTTTCGCGAATCTTTCGCGACTCCATCGCCAAGCCCTTTTGTTTGCCCTTTTGTTTGCAGCGTGCGCTCTGGAGCCATTGTGGCTGCTGCAGTTATGCTTGCACACAGGATAGCCGCAGCTCACCTGCGTGCAGTACGTAGTGTTAAGTGCAAGCAGTCACCGTCATTCGCCCTTGCCACTTGCGCTTGCCGGCGGTGTGCGGAACCTTGCAACAACCTCCCTGGACTTTCGCCGGTCTTTCGCGGATCTTTCGCGAAACTTGCTCCAAAATAGCCCAGCCAACGTTATTGATTTGCGCCATTCCTAACACAGGCAGGGAATCACTAATGCAAGTGTAGGTGCTGCGTATCTCCCTCTACAAGGGAGCGGGGTCTGCAAATATGTAAGTGCACACCTCCAAAAATCCAACGCGGATTCTTTCGCGAAAAAATAAGTTTCTTTCGCGAACTCCATCGCCGATCTTTCGCGGAGGGATTTAAGCCAAGACGAATGGTCACCGAATACATAACTCCTTGCAAGGACTTTTTGATCAACCCCCATATGCGGAGATAAAGGATTTTGACTCTAAACTTTACTGTTCCACCCAGTCCTATCATCACGGGGCCGCCGGTCAGTTTTGAGAGACGTCTGCAGCAGTGTTACCTTCAGCAGGTCTTCCTCGCAATCGAGGTCCTCTGCGGCTGCCAGCAGAAGCAAAAGAAATCGGCCAAGAGCCAATAGAGCCATGAAAAGTAGGTATACGGTAGAGCGTCAAGCACCGGAGGGATTTTCCCGATGCAGTGTTCTAATGGTGGGCATTTTCAGCCCTGAGCCAAGAAAGTTGGCTGCGGGCCATATACATCCAAGCTCGCAACCTGAACTGAGTCACAATCAAAACCGGGTATTAAAATGGTCTACCCAGAACCATGCAAAGAATTACCAAGGCATGGGTGTGGCCATGTGTCGCTGGGATTGTCCCTTACCCTCCAATACACGGATTTTGATTGTGACTCAACTGCACTTGGGGGCCTCTGACTTGAATCGACCTTAGCCTTCGAGGCCCTTCGGAAAGTTGCAAGCTCCATCTGAGGCCACTGCGCAGGTGACCAGGGCGGCACAGGAGGTGTCCTGTGCAAACTTGACTTGAGGTCACTGGCTCTGCCTCGCCATTTCCCGAGTGACTCCTTGCTAAAAGCGGGACGTTTGGCGCGGTATATCCTAAAAAGTTCGAAGTGTCAAACGTCAAGCGTGTGATTCCGACATCCAAATGTGACTGCTACTCCCAGCATAAACGTCCATGCCGCAGAACAAATTCAACTCAATTGCTTTACGTGCCCGTTGCCCAGCCCAACCGCCTAGCCAGCAAGGCGTCAAACTCACAAGCGCCGTAATAACTTTACGCCAGGAAAAGACTCAGATGCTCCATCCCCACTCAACAAACCATAAGCGAAGAAGACCACCCCGATGACGGGAAGCGGGAAGCGGGAGAGCTATCTTGGACTTGGTAAAGTGGACTTAGTAGTGGACTTCTGAGTCCAGCAACTTCTTTTACAATTAATCAAACAAGGGGTCGAGAAACAAGCCCTCAAGCCTGAAGGTGAGCGCAAGGAAGGAGAGGCTGGTCTCCCGTGGAGAGAGTATGGTTTTGCAGGGGATGCTTGTGAGGCCCAAAAGTCTCGAGCCTGAGTTGGGACGACTGTGGTACGTACGGTAGAGCACTTTGTTGCCGTTGTGTTGGTGCTTGTTTTCACTGTCTCGGCCCGGGCTCTCACAGTGTGGGCTGCCGGCCGCCGTGATCCCGGGACCTGAGCTCCGTTGTTTTATGTTGTCTTGGTCGCTGGGCGGTTCGGCTCTTTGCAGGTGATAAGAAGCATAGGATCACAACGCAAAGACGTTTGGTTTGAAGATATTGGGGTGTGAGGCAGAAAACAATGAAGAGGACTGGGCCCCAACTGACGGGTGCAGGGCATGGGCAGAGAAGGGGGGGAAGAGAGTAGAGCACTCAAGGGGATTCTGCAATTAGCGGTGCCTCAGCTCGGGGAAGCGATTCTGCAGCTGGCACTTCAACTGGCACTCGTACAATCGGAGGGGTTACAATGTGTCATCTTGCTACACCACCTGAAACACTTCCTGACTGCAGTGTTGAATGATTCGGATGATGCAGTGCACGTGCGGTGGGTGCGACCCCTTTTACTCTTGGCTTGAAAGCAGCGGAGATATAATTTTGCTCTGACAGCATGGTTCGTGAAGGTGCAGGAGACCCATGGTCGTAGATTCTGGTGCAGAAATAAGCACATTGCCACAAAGGTTCGGAGCAAGTACCGCTCTCAACGCTGGGGGATGCTCAAGGCTCAGAAGTTCAGCAGTCTTGCCGCATAGAGGCAGTTCTGGCTCGGGACGAATTCTTGGAAGCAAATGTACATTTAATACTCTTTCACTTGGACGGCTTGTGAAATGAGGTTCCTTGCAAGCACCGGGTGGTCGCGAGAAGTATGTTTGCACTTTTACACAGCAAGTGTTTTCTCAGTGAGACCAAATGAGAATCATGCAACGCATTGCAATGAGGCAAACTTGCGCTTAGATGATATCCTCTTGACTCGATGTGGTACTGCCTGAGAGCTACATGAGGAAGACAACTGCCCTGTGATCAATTGTTGGATTCGAGACGAAATGTTACGCGCCGCAGGACTCAAGCGTGGAGATTTCAGATCCAACCAATGCGCGTGGCTGGTGAATCAGGAACTGAATGGCAGGAATGCAGCTGCGGGACGGACGGCTTGGCTGCCCCTGATGTGGAGAGCTTGTCAGCCAAGGTCTCAGTTGCGCTTGCTTCCTGCCAGACTGTGTGTACACCGGCCTCGCCACAAATGATCATGATATGGCCATGCCCGCCTTGCATCATGCCGAATGCGAATGGGTTGGCGAGTCAGACTAGTCCTCACTTGGAACATGTGGGGCCCCATGTGTCCATACGTGCTATGTTGCAAGAAGCACGTTGGCCGATTTGGATGGGCTCAAACCCATTTGCGACCAGCGGCACGACTAATATCCTCTGTTAAATACCCAGTGCTGGCTTTAGGAACCAAGCACTTCCATTGGTCCTCCTGAAAGCTTCGCCCAGGTCGCCCCAGATCCGCCGTAGCTCGTGGCTGGCTCGGGGCGAGGCCGGAGACACTCGCGGTGAGGTTCGGGGCGAGCCTGCCAGGTGCAGCCAGATTCCCATGAGAGACTTCTACTACACCGAAAATGCTTGACAAACACAAACTTGGCTGCCAAAAGGGAAGGATTTCCGGGTGCAGGAACAGCCTGTGAAGTGGGGCAATCCATGGCCCAATGGTGTTTCAATTGAGTGGCAAACTCCATGCATAAGGAACGACAGGGTTGAGACAGAATCGCTTCCCAAGGCCTCCATGCCAGCTGGTTGGGGAGGTTGCGCCAGAGCTGTTTCTGGGAGTCCTGCAGGCTTTGGCTCAAGGGCAGAAATCTATGACCAATGCGGTTCATTTCTCCATCGGTCTGACTCTGCTTTGCCGCTCGAATGAATCGACGCCCTTCGCAACATGGGGGAGGAACCGCAATAACAACATCTCATATGTGACCCTTGCTCCCACCTCGCTGATGCCTCGGACCCTGGCCGCGTGGGCGGCAGCGGTGGCAGCATGCCCTGCCAACAAGAACAGAATAGCGAAGCACACAGTCCATCTGAAGCACTTGGGTTGAGCAATCACTGTCAAGTCGCGTCAAACATATTTTGCTCATCTCTGTTTTGCTCCGAATGCTCCGACTCCGATGGCCCGCTCAAAAGCTCGCCCATCTCAGGCTGCAGCCCTGCCCTTGGCGCCGCGCAAAGGTACCGGGCTGCCTGTCACCCATGCGGGGCTAGGCCGGACCGCTAGGCGGAAAGGACGCCACGCAAAACATCCAGAACCGTAGCCGCATGCCAGAATTCATGGGAAGTGGTGCGACTCCTTTCACAAAGGGCATTTGCTTGGAGAGCGCCATTGCCTGAGCCTGTGAGGCCGCTGGAGCTCACGCCCCATTTGTTGCCAGCGAAAGCCTCGGGCCCAGAACGCTCCGAAACGTGCGCCTTGCACAGGCAAAAGCCCAGTGGCCAGAACAAGACATCCAAGTCCCACAGCATGGAAAAACATAGGCGAAGCCTCCTTGACGGTGATCGTCTTCTCCGAGAGCAAGGGCCCCTCAGGGCACAGGATTGGCTCACACATGCTCACAAAGACAGCGAAGTGCGACTTTGCCAGGATTTCCGTCTGCCCCGCTAAGTATCCTGCAGTTCGGTCCATGCCGAGCCACTCTTGCCTAAGCGCGGTTGAACACAACGCAGACTTCAGGCCACTGGCTCCATTTCACGGATTCTGGACCAGCCTCATGACGAAGGACCAGGATTCTCGACCATTCAGGGATACGGTGTTCAAGTGCTTCATGGCAAGGTTCCTGGCTTGTGCGGTCCTTTTTGGAACCCAATGGGATGCTAGGGAGTGAGTCCCGAAAATGGGATGCGTCTTCGAACACATCTCAAACACTGGGCAGTAGGCCAGAACTTGGAAGGAAACACGTGTGCCTCAAGACCAGATCTCCAGTTTCATTTCTGATTTGTTTGGATTCTTTTGCCCACGAAGTCCTGAGCTTGTACGTAGAGGTCTTCTCACCCACGGCCCAAGTAAGTCCGTAAACCTGAGGCAAAGCATACGCACAGCGTGTGGCAGTGCTGACATCGAAGGGGGGGGGTATGGGCGAGTTGCTCTTTGGCCGTGCGTTTCCGCGCTCAGAAAGTCCCGCACCTGTAACAGTTAAAGCCACCTCCACATCTCTTTCACAATCAAGAACCTGCTCTGAGGGCCAATGCAAGCAGCAAACCTTGCGTGTTTCTGATGGGAAAATGAGCCCGTGCAGCAAAGAATGGCAGGCACAGTCACTGAAACTTGGAGCCCAGAGCATGCTCCCAGGGCAAACCGAGTCTGAATGGTTTCGAGGGAAAAGCGAAACCATGTAAATCCTCAACCCGCCTTCCAAAAGCGGAGCACCGCAGCACCCACCTGGGCAAATACGCATGTCCAATACGCAGGCCGTGAGCGGTCAAGTTGTTTGCCGCCCAGCTGGCTGAGGTCTTGTTTTGCGTAGATGCATGCATGCATTAATGAATGAATGAATGAATGAATGAATGAATGAATGAATGAATGAATGAATGAATGATTGAATGAATTAATGTATTACAAATGAATGCATGCTAGCCTGCCACTGCCCCGCCAACCAAACAAGGAGGCAGCCAGCCAACCAACCAGCCAGGCAGCAACCAACCAACCAACCAACCAGCCAGCGAGCCAGCAACCAGCCAAACCACCCAAGCCAGGCCTGCCAGGGTTAGCCCTGCTCCAGGTCTAGGCCAAAAAAACGGCTCCCGGCCCAGCTCCAGTGGACGCTATGTAAATGTCTTATGTTTGGGTGGCGACCGCGCTTCCTCCCCTGCTACTGGCAGATCATCTTCAGTCAAGATCAGCTCAAAACAGAAGTCACTCACGAAAGCCCGCCAATCCTCCGTGTTCTGGATCATGGACTTTGGCACGATAGGTACAGCCTGGCTTGAAAGTAATTTCGAAAGCACCACAAAGGGCTTCTTTGCAAACAAAAAAGGTAGCCTCTCTGCACCGCTCTGTTTGTATTGTGCTGGTTCTTCTTTGCGCAGCTTTGCGCAGCGGCTTCATAGCACTGTTCTGCTTGCATTGTACTGATGCAGCCCATTTCATTGCGCTTGCACAGCGGCTTGCATTGCATTTCCTGCTCAACTGTCGTTCTTTGGCTTGTACGGTACTGCCAGCGGCTCTTGCACGTGCGTGCGCTTTTGGAAGCTTCGGGCCCGAATTCTCCGTCCATGTGCAACTCTTGAGTCTGCAACGCAGCAACTTCGAACGCAACACAAACGAAGACCTGCAGCTCCGGATCTGACATTGCAACTTTCGCAAATCTGGTGCGCCATGCGTGTTTTCGCAGCTGCCGGAACTTTGCAACTCGGTGTGGAGTTGTGCATGAAGTGCATTTTTGCAGTTCCGGCTGTTGCATGCTGTGCAGAATGACAGACAGTGCTGGTTGAAAATTAAATGCAGTTGTGTAGGGAATTCCTTTTTGTACACGCTTGCGCTTTATGCAAAAACACAACCTCGTGGGGGTGGCTGTAAGCTTGCGAATTTCTATGCGTCCAACCGTCATGAGGAGTTGGTGAGATCAATAGCCTCGTGCAAAGTCACCTTTGATACGTTGCTTGCGTTGCAGTGTGATGTCCTGCTTGCTTGTGCACGCTTTAGCGGGGCTGGGTCTGGCAAGGTACTTTAAACTCGTAGCGCAAGCCTCAGTCCCTCCATTCCTATCAACCCATGACAATATTGAAAACACCTGCACCTCCAAAGCAAAAGGCCATGACGGCAGTGAGCATCTCTCTCAAGTCCCACCTCCCGGTGCAGAGCGCTCCAACTGCACAGGAAAAGGATGGCAGCGCGGCGCCTTGCCTCGCTCACTTGCACGTCTCATCACGTCTCACATCAAAGGAACCTGCAGTTCTGATTCGTGATCTCGGCCCCGCTTCCTCCCCCCCCAGGCGGCCCCCCCCTCGACCTGCTCCACGCTCTTGAAGCGAAGCTCCGCCCAGCGAAGCACCCCGCGGCTCCTGACATGGAGGGGCCGGAGCGTCATCAGTCACTCAGCGATCAAGTCGAGACAATAAATAAAGCAACAGCTTGTCAAAGCTGAGGAAGAGAGAGGCTGGGCTTTACAATGCTTTACGAGTCTGGCAGTGAGAAAAACAACGCAAAGACCTTGGAATGAGGTAGAAAGACACATGAATGAAGCGCACGCAAATGTGAGCAGAATTATTGTGCGGGCGCAAGAAACTAACCAATTCATTTCTCGAGGACCTACACGGGACTTCCGCAGCGGTAGCTGACGCGAGTGGTCTTGACATAGCAAACGCCTACGCGTTTGTGGAAGTTTGTTTTGTGGAAGTTTGTTTTCGCATGTTTTCGCTTGCGCGAACACGGCTTTTCAACGTGTATTTCGCTTGCGCGCACTTTTCGTGGCTGGGCAAATGATGAAACCCTTCCGCGAAGCTCCGCAGCCCATACTTCCCGACGCAGGGAATCCAGAACCCTGCGTGTTGGACGGAAAGGTTGCAGGAAATCAAAACACATGATTGAAGTTCTGTTCCCTTTTGGCCCCGCACCAACATGCAGAAAGGGTGCTTTGCTGCAAAGCAATATGAAGGTCGTCAATGCAGTCTCCATCGCTCTCCATCACTCTCACAGGTTCTGGGCCCACCACGCCAAAAGCGCTGGATCGTTGACCTCGCCGGACCTGAGCACAAGACAAGGCAGATGGAACGCTCGCTTCCAATGCATCCCGCACTCAAACTCCTCGATCCAAACGGAAACGGTCGCCGTCACAGCCCACAGGCACCCCGGCGTTTGCAAGCCATTTGGCTTCAGACGTGCTTGATGCTCCAGCGAGGGCATGGGCCTTGCAGTGGGCAGTGCCCCTTGGGCAACCAGCTGCGTCTCTTGCAACAGAGATGTCTAAGATGCCGGGCACCGTGATGAAATCGCTCTCCCTCGGCTCCGCGATGCCCTGCGACAAAAACTCTTATCGGTAGCTCTCAGGTGAGTGCAGCTCCTGCAGCAGCAAGCCGTAGAGCCCCGGCACCCCAGAGCTAGTGCCTCATCGGCTTCAGATCGGAGGCACGTCGCAAAGTCGGAATCAAAAGTCGCAAATCATGTTTTTCTCTTGCGCGCGACGCTGAGACGCTGCGGCTCAGAACTTGAGGAAGACGCCTCGGTAATAGAACATGGCCGGGCTTGTCAATCCACCCATCCTTGCCACTCACCATCCTGTTGGTAGAGAGGCTGTGAGAAGTTGAGACAGTTCAATTCGTTTCATTCACACGACGGGCCTGTAACTCGATCTTCAAGCACACGCGACAGACGGCCCTGGAGGCCGAACAAATGCAGCACAGCAGGATGTAGGCCATGAAGCTGCAGAAGGCGAGCCGAAGATCAAGGCCTCGGATCGCGTGAGGGCACGTTGTCAGTTCGCAGCCCTCAGCATCCCCTTTTTCTCTTACCTACAAGCCATGGGGCCTGCATCGCCTGCATCATCAGGCTAC